AAAAATAAATTAGTGAAGTGAGTGAGGGGGATAAGGGGTGAGGCGGGAAGGGGAGAACGCGGCCCCCGGTCCGGAGCTCCTGGGGTGCGGGGGGGCGACWWWGTSGCCCCCCCGCACCCCAGGAGCACCGGACCGGGGGCGTGAAGTCGCCAAATCCTCGGTGGCGACCACAAATCGCGATAAAATCGCCCATGGCCACTCCGCTCTCACCATGGCGGCCGCGCTGAGGGGCGTGAGGGAGAGCGGCACTTCCGGTTTGGAGCGGCGGAAATACGTCACGGTCGCTATGGCAACGGAGGGGACTTCCGGTGCGGAACCAGGAAGTGAAGCGGCGTTGCCATGGCGACGGCGGGTGAGGGGGGAGAGAGAGAGCGATGGCGGCGGGGGAAATTTGGGTGGAGGGATGGGGATATGGAGGGGTTTGGGTTGGGAAGGAACTTAAGGATCATTCGGTCTCACGATCCCAGGCTGCTCCAAACCCCACCATCCCCACAATTCCCGGTATCCAGAACGCGGTGAGGCCCTGAGGGGGCTGAGGTCCGAAAAAGGCCTAAAAATAAAAACCCGTGTCTATAGAGCAGGTGTTTGTTTGTTGGAGGTGAGGGGGATTTCTTAATTTACCTGCTTTTGCTTCAAATTAGCACGTATGTTATTACATTTTTATACTGATAACATATTAAGAATTACAGAAAGTTTTCAATTAATAGGCTTCATAAGCACCTTGTCACTTTGATATAAACTATGTATCAATGCCCTATATAAAAACTTATAACAATACAGAAAAAGGCTGTTATTGATAATACATTGAAAGCTATTACATTGTATATTAATAATCTGTAAAAAGATATTACATTTTTATATTGATAACATATAAAAAGGCTATAGAATGTTTTCAATTAACAGGCCTCATAAGCACCTTGCCACTTTGATATAAACCATATATAAACCATATGTCCAGCATGGTCTTGGACAATTCCCGGTGTCCAGAACGCTGGGGGGACTGATGTCCGAAAAAGGCCTAAAAATAAAAACCCGTGTCTATAGAGCAGGTGTTTGATTGTTGGAGGTGAGGGGGATTTCTTAACTTACCTGCCTTTGCTTCAAATCAGCACGTATGTTATTACATTTTTATGCTGATAACAATATTAAGAGTTACAGGAAGTTTTCAATTAATAGGCCTCATAAGCACCTTGTCACTTTGATATAAATCATATGTATCAATACCCTATATAAAAACTTATAACAACATATGAAAAGTCTTATTGATAATACATTGAAAGCGATTACATTGTATTTTAATAATATATAAAAAGTTATTACATTCTTATATTGATGATATATAAAAAGTTATAGAATGTTTTCAATTAACAGGCCTCATAAGCACCTTGTCACTTTGATATAAACCATATATAAACCATATGTCCAGCATGGTCTTGGACAATTCCCAGTGTCCAGAACGCTGGGGGGACTGATGTCCGAAAAAGGCCTAAAAATAAAAATCCGTGTCTATAGAGCAGGTGTTTGTTTGTTGGAGGTGAGGGGGATTTCTTCTCCTAACCTACCTGCCTTTGCTTCAAATTAGCAAATAAGTTATTGCATTCTTATATTGATAACGTATAAAAAGTTATAGAAAGTTTTTGATTAATAGGCCTCATAAGCACCTTGTTGATATGAGCCACATGTATCAATATCCTATATAAAAACTTTTAACAATATATGAAAAGGCTATCATTGATAATACATTGAAAGCGATTACATTGTATATTAATAATATGTAAAAAGTTGTTACATTCTTATATTGATAATATATAAAAAGTTATAGAATGTTTTCAATTAATAGGCCTCATAAGCACCTTGTCACTTTGATATAAACTATGTATAAATGCCCTATATAAAATCTTATAACAATATAGAAAAAGGCTGTTATTGATAATACATTGAAAGCTATTACATTGTATATTAATAATCTGTAAAAAGTTTATAGAAAGTTTTCAATCCTAGGCCTCATAACCACCTTGTTGATATAAACCATAGTATCCTCATGGTTTTTTTCTACTCCTCCAAGTCTTTATTTTCCATTATTTTGCTGACTGTCCCGTGCCTCTGCCGAGTTTTCATTGGTGCTCTCTGCCGTTCCTTGTTACAGCATCCACCTTTGTGCTTTTTTCAGCACATTTATTTATTTATT